TCCAATCCTCAGATGTCCAGTGTCTTTTCTCGACACCACTGAAAATGAAGTCTTGCATGTCGGCAGAACTGAGCGATTTTCTTACAGGCACCAAAACTATGCATTCCTATCGCTCTGCAATTCGCTGCGCATAGTTCTAGCTGAAATTTGTTGGGAAGAGCCTTGGTTGACGATTTGTGATAGTTGAATCCGTGTTCTGCCGTACAATTCATCGGAGATACCGCCGATCACTGTCTTTGAAAACTATGCTCGAACTGCAGTTACATTTTTTAGAGAAGGATTCGAAATCGATGCCCCCACTAAATGTGCACCAACAATAAGCCCCTTTTTCAAATGGTGAACGATCTGCCGCCTTTTTTCCCCATTTTACTTCATTCATCATGAAAAGCACTCTTACACCTTACTTATACTGGCATTTTAAAACCAAGTATAATCCACATCATAGAAAAAATTTGGATATTTCATCCCTAGCATGCATTCAGATGAAAATCTGAAAGGTTTCTTATTGATTGGCCAGTGTGTGTATTATTATATTATGCAACATGAGGCAGCATTAACATGTGGAGCTGGGAAGGCTTCTAATGATCACCTTTCTCTCTTGTGAGAGCAGGATGCACTGAAATTTGATGTCCTTATTTTTTAGCATGGTTATGAGTTTTGTAGACAAGTGGATCATCCACGTTCAAGATATAAGCAATCATCTTTCCACGATACTCAATTTTGTATATCTTCTTCTCAAATATCATTGTATTGATGTCCTTCCAGCTGAATCAGGAGTCCTGAATTGTGATAGGATTAATGCAAGCCACTTGTTTGGTGTGTAGCAGAATCTATCTTGATTCTCCTGGGTTGCATCGTTGTCAGTGTACATGTCAGGCTGGGTAAAGTAAGTAAGTTTTAGGCTTCCCTGCTCCGTGAACTAAATGAGAAGTGGATGATGATGAAACATTCAGAAAAGAGATGCAATGGTAGTGCAGCACAGGAGATTCTAGCTTCAAGTATTGATTACAGAATTATGGCAGAATTGATCAGACGTATCTATTACTGAAAGCAGAGACTTTTTGAACATATTTTTTTAGAGAAATGGTAATATTCTAATTAGGTATGGATTTAATCATAATGCTTTGTTGCAGGCATAGTTTTTATTCAGACATAGAAAATGTTACGGTGTGCTGGCTTGGCTTGTTACTGATTACAAATCAAAAATAATTTTTGGTTTCCTGATTCTTTTCTCTCCTGCATTCTTTCTAGGAGATGAAATAATTTTATCTGCTTCTGAAATTTCAATTTCTCTTTTTTCTTGTGTTTGTTTTACAGAAGCAGTGGCCTGTTTTTGTTTCTCATTCTGTGCTCTAGCATCAAACAATATACTTCGGTTCTCTAAGAGACATTTTTCTTGGTGCTCTTGGATCAACAAGCTCAGGAAGAATACAATTCACGTAAAATTTTTCGAGTTTTGGAACTAAACTGATCCAGAAAGTTTTGTCTTCGGGTTTTATTCTTAATGTGATTGCATCTTCTCTGCACCTCATATATAAATCACACCAATTCCGCTCTCTGTTATGGCTAACTGCTGCCCTTGAATGATTGAAAATAATATTTGTGGCTTTTCGGTAATAAAGATTATTATCAGCATCCATCCGAAGACCAACAGAATTAGGCTTGCTGAAAAAGTCTGACAAGTCTGCTGAGAATCTGGCTGTATAAGGACATTTTATTTCAAGTAATCCATCTTCGTCTATCAATCCATCTGGCGCGAAGTACAAAGAAAGGGATATTTAGGATCAATAAAAAGGCCACAACGTCTGATGTTTTTTCCCATATGCTTTTCCTTGTATTGATTTAAGGCTACTGCTTCGTTAGCCAAGCCATACTTTAATGCTTTAGTTGAAACGTTATCATTATATATGATACGCTCTAATGTCCTAGCCTGCACTATTACAAAAGACATATTGCAAATTTGTTCTGCCAGATGGTAATGGATTTGCCTTTCCTTCGATCTTCCCTTTTCGATAATTAAAGGTGAATCAGGACACATAAATTCATCATTAAGGTTCTCCTGAAGAGGCTCAGACTCCAAGCTAAAATATATACATATATATATATGTAAGATAAAACATATATGAATCATAATTATAATATAACTATAAAACATTAATTCTTCCTCTCTATTCTAAAATCGTAATAACTTATCTGCATTGCGTCATTCAAATTAATCATGCGATCTTACGTAACCGTTAATACCAGATGCCTCTTAACAACCAATCACCGAATTGTAAACCAAAACTTTTCTCTTCACGTACTTCCATCTTTCATAACTACGCACTTCAGCTTTTGCCCTCTGCTCTGCTAAGATGTAATTTCGCTGGCTTGCTTTCTATCTTAACAATATATAAAAATGTAAATCTTGTGTGGAAAGGCACGACTAGTGCCAAGTGATTGTGGCCACAAATATCAATTGGAAATAAAAATGGAATTAAAACTGCTTCGACTGCCAAGTTCTTTAGATATTACCAAGTTAGCATTACTAGCATACTGCGCAATCAAAATGTTCTTCAATATGGGTCTCATCACGCATCTACAGTGTTCCGTCTTTTCCTTGTGTTTTTATTATGACATATATATATATATATATATATATATATATATATATATATATATATATATAATATATATATATATATATATATACATATATATACATATATATAATTAATATATATAAATATTACAAATTAGGTTTTAAATTTGGCTTATTTGTTTATTGACAGCAAAGCACTTGATCTTCCTAAGAGGAGGGATGCTTTCATGGAGGACTTTCTAAGGGAAATGGCTCATATACACATTATACACGGGGAAAACCATGAAAACGCCCATGCAGGCAGCCCATTCGCAATTAGGTTTAGGAAAATTTAGGCAACAGATAGCAAATAAATTAACAATAATAATACACTGGATTACCAGTATATTACTACAAGAAGATGAGTCATCTTCATAACTGCTGCTTCCATGTTCGCAGTGTCATTTGCTTGTGCAATATTAGTCAGTACTTTGTGTGCCGGAGGTTTCACATGAAGGGCCTCTACACCTGAGTATAAAATGTTCGTGTTCCAGTAAACACTGAATTCAGAGGGGCAAGAATAACTCTTTCATGGTGGATAACTCAGTTACCAAATGGCTTTCTAAGGCTCTATTCAAGCCGTTGTATAAATGTCATAATTCCCAACTAACAACGCTTCGTAGTCAGACCTTGCTATGTCACAAAAACTAGTTTGGGCATTAAGCTTGAAGTTTTCAACTTTGTGCCGACTTGATATAAGAGTCGGCCAATCAGAGCATATACATAAACCTATTGAGAGAGAAAGCTGTAGACACATACATGCATGCACAAATTTAGCTTCTCTAATTGGCTATGGCTTAGACCCTCTCTCGCAGGTGTGAATGGAACTCCCACATTTTGTGCCTTATGATTATGCGTCTATGACATTTATACCATCATGTGAACGGAGCCTTAGGATGGCATACTAAGAAGATGCACTGTCTTGTGGGGATAAGCAATTTATACTCCTAAGCCTAAAAAAAAAACTTGGAAAAAAAAGATCACGACTTAAATTTGTTGTCTAATTGCTCTAATTTGAGGCACATTACGAGAGGAAAGCAAAGGTAGTAATCAGAATTATTTAAAAAATTTTATCCTTATATTTTTCTTAAAAATTCTGTAAAATAATAAAATTTTTGGTTTTCCTCAAATAAATATATATGGAAAAAATAATAGCCACATAATCACAGATTTCATTTTGTTATATTTTATTAACAAAATTTAAATTATTAAAAATCTCTTTCATGAAGGGAACATAAAACATCATGAAAACAATGAAAAAGAAGCAATATTTAAAAAAGATAGTAGGCTTATTGATGAGGCTCCCATCAAAAGAATCAAACCCAAATTTCCCAAAATATTTCATCAACCCCAAAATATTTCATTGCTTCAGTGTCCCGTCTGAAAATTTCACTGATTTCAATGAATATATTTTTAAAAAAAATCTTTTATTTTCAAGTTCTTTCATGCAAAACGTCCAAATTTGGTACAAATCAAATTCATCCCCCTCTTTTTGATAGCTACAATATTATATTTAACAGTTTTAATAGCTATCAGTATGTAAACAACATAATGTAACACCATAAAAGAAAAAAACATAAATGATGACATTTTAATTTTGGCATAGAGAAATACATATTTACCCCAAAAGAGAGCTTGTATTTCTACCTTCTACGTCAGAGTCAATAACTGAAATGTCCAGATCAGAACTGAGAAGAAAAGAACCATAATTAGTTTAATTAATTAAGATACAATAACACACCGACCAAGTATTAATTTGAGAGTCAAGCAACAAAAATCAGCATCATATTTTGAAATATTCACTATTTGAAAATATAACGCTGATTTTGGTTGCTTGACTTCTAAATTAATACATAATTAGTTAACCATAATTAAGTCGCTGTAAGAGTTTCAATATCATGCACAGCTAATATCTATTTTAGAAATAAACCAACTTACCTCAGGAAAGCCTGGTTTGTCTTAGGAACATTAGCTGTAACTTCTGGCGTAGAAAAGTCAAATTTTTCACTTCCGGACCTAAGAATGAAAGAAATAAACTGCTATAACATAATAATAATAATAATAAAAAAAAAACATGAATAAATAAATAACACATAACAAATTTAAGCATTAAGCTATGTATGACTACCACCCATCTCAGACAGTGCGACAGATATTGCTGTATACTGTTTCGCCATACCCTGTGTAGCTATTATATCATGCTGTATAACCACAGTTTAGAAAAATTACAAAATGTGTTATTTATATCTATCTAAAATGGTACATTACTACATGATTTGTAAGAATAAATTAGAGGGCTCTGCGAATGAAATTCCTTCCAATTAAAAAATGTAGGAATAAAGAAAATGCAGGAATTGCAAATGCAGAAATGAAAAAGGGATTATATTTTTTGCACAGAATCCAGATGACATATTTTTCAACATTTTAGAAATTTCAATATTAATTTTAGGGGCCTAAAATATTAGGCCCCTAAAAGCAGAATATAGTTTTTAAATGTTCAGATAATCTTCCTATGAGAAGAATTCCTTTGAGAAGTACACATCTGAACCACAATTAAAAAACATGTACAAGAACAGAGCTGAGGACTTCTGTTTGCAGAAAGTCTGTCACATAACATATGAAAAGTTTCTTATTGGTAGATTTTTGATCAGACAGATATTTTATTGTTATACAGAGAAAGCATTCACTCCCTTTATACTGGAGATAATTCAATTTGGACAATGGCAAAAAGGCTAAGCAAGCCTGAGCGTATTGGTCCCATTCTTGGCACTAGTTTGGTTTACGCTCAAAATACACGGCAGATATTTTCTAATTACCTGCATCCCAATATCAATTCAATTCAGCTTTTGGTGGAATTTACCATTTGTGACATATTTTTCAAAAACTACACTTCACAACATGCATACATGACAAATACACAGAACCATAAATAAACAAGCAATAATATATATTTATATATAAATTTTACTAAATGATCATAAAATGTTCCAACGCTAAAAGAAAGTTTTAACATCCAAGTAAATGACATAATAAAAAAAAAGCAAGTTGAACAGCGAGCACATGAATAAATGTGCATACACCTGTAAAAATATACCATAGGTAACTGACAAAGCATTTCGTAGCAAACATATGACTATAAAATTTCCAATAATACATGTAATGATGGTGAATTCAATTTAGATCGCAAGAACATGCTCATACTTTTGAAAAGATTCAATTATTTCAGCAATTCCTTGTGAATTGGAATTTACCCTTTCAATATTTCCCAACAATTTAGTGTGAATGGAGGAATAAATTGTTATAACAGAATTGAACAATTATTAGCATCCCCTCATACACACACATACAAAAAAAAAAAAAAAAAAAAAAAAAAAAAAAAAACTTACTTTGTAAAAAAATCATCCGGGCAATGATTCTCCTTTGACACAGATGCAGTTGTATCAATAATTTCTGACCTTCAATAAAAAAAAAAATACGCATATTTTACTTCGGAATTAACTTACTACGAAATCATAAACACGAGGTAGTCGATATAAAGAATAAATTATTTCTCACCTTTCGAAAACATCCGCTTGTTCGGAATCTTCCACATCTCGGGAATTTAATTTCATATTTTTTTCTTGAGCTCGACGTTTACGCTGAATTCTGGATCTTTTATTAAAACCAGGATGTTTTTTTTTTTCGGTCGTCCTTGATATTTTCGCATATTTTTTGCAAACTGACCACAGTACAAATAAATGTAAACAAACGAGTGCGGAATAGCAATGCAATAGGGTTGCCGTAAACGTCATTCCTGCTGACAGCTGACAATGTTTAGTGAAAACTGTGTATAAAGGAATATATGAAACGCTTCTAAATATTATTTAGAAAAAAATATGATTTATAACTGATATCAAAATCAATTACTTCGTGAATTTTTGCAGAAATAAGATTACAATGTTAAATTTTAACTCGTAGCGCCATCTATTGATGGCTTTCCAAACTACACATTAAAATTACGTATTTCAAACTAATTTTTTTAAAATATAATATTTAAGTAAATTTCATTTCCAAACCTGATTCTAACATTTGATTCGAAAACTGACCTATTGCTTTATATTTCTGCCAAATTTCACGCAACATAGTTTCTTAATTAGCGATTCTGCGTGTAAAACAAATTTTTAGTATTGTAATGCTGCTGTAGTAGACCACCTTAAAAAAACGGGATTTTCCTTCACAAGACAGCAGCATATTCTGCTGCATGTGGTCATAATACTGTTTGTGCAATTTTTTTCGAATTACAAATACAGCGTGTGAGTTAGTGAAATAATGGGAGAATATTCCTAGAACTTCAGCCAGCGCGCGCTATAAATTTCGTCACTCGTCTGTACTGCGATTGGTCTAAAGCTCCTTGAAGCCTTGTCCCCTTTCAGTAAAGTCAAATGGACCCACCCGCCCACCAACTGAGGACCGCAGAATGGCTTTCTCCGATAAGTTGTGACAGCTGTCTATACCGTTTTTTTTTAGTCAATATTGTTCGCTTAAGTTGTAGACAGATCCAGTGACCATAGAATAGGCGTCCAGGAGAGGTTTGTTATGCAAAATCAAGGTAACTCTGAAATATTTTCGTTCTGAGTTGTGGCAACATTGTTATAAAAATGGATTTTGTTGTTAATGGCGGCGTTGCGGAACGGCATATATTCAATGAAACTGGGCCTCTTCTCTGCGACGATATTACTAATGATTTGAAACTTAGTGTTGCAAAAAAAGCGTCTTTTGAATCCTTATCACGCGCTTCTTCAAAAAGTAGTATTTATGAATTGGTATCTGAAGAGGTTGAGGATTGTTCTGATGTTGATTTTTTAAAAGTGGGAAATCGTAATGAAGAGGATTTTGTAATTGTTAGTGAAATCGAAGAAAGTGATGATTGTAATAGTGACAACGATATGAATGCTTCAGATAAAGACGACAAATCAGATGGAGGTCTATCAGATGAATTGTACATAATTGAGGATGATGACGCTAATGATACGCTGGAGGTAAGTAATTCTGCATCTGTAAAAGAGACTCAGAAAACTCTGTCAGATGGAGATGACATCGAAATGGACGAAATTATTGCCGAGTTCGCAAAAGAAGAAGTAAAAGAATCCAATGTTATTAAGTTTTCTGATCAAGAAGATGAAATTGATTCTATTTTAGAAGACTTCGCTATTGCCGATTCGCCTTTGTCAAGTCCTCAGAAATCTGATATGATTCTGTCAGCGGAAGTCGATAAAGAAGTAGAGTCTATACTAGAGGCTTTCAGTAAGGCAGATGATTCTGATGATGATGATTGCTATATTGTTGAAGAAGATGACGAAAGTGAAGAAGATAGTTCTTTTGTTCAGTCTACTGAAGCTGCTAAAAATCAAACTGAGCATCCAAATACGAAAATTAATAATGTTCAAGAAAAAGAAACTTCATATTCAACATCTTTCAAGAAAAAATTAGAAAATGGAAAATCAGATGAAGTTCAGTTGTCCTCACAACAGTCTGAAAATTTGAGTGAAGTAATTAAAGTTAGTAATTCAGTAAACAGTGGTTTAGAAAGTAGATGTAGTAAAAGTGAAACAGAGAATGAGAAAGAGAAAGTTTCTAATATCAAGTGTATTTCTGTAAGTAGGACTGAATTGTTAGAAACAAATAATTCTAGTAAATTTGATGTTGCAGAATCATTAGATGTGGTTTCGGAGATAGTGACAGAACGAAAAATTTCTGCTGTATGTGAACAATCTAATTTGGAATCAGAAGAGACAAATTCTGGTACAGGTTTAACTTTATCTATGAGTGGAATAGGAGGAAATAAATCTGTAGCACCAGATAATAAAATTATGAAAAGTGACGCTTCTCCATCGAAACAGTCTTCTCATGCACCCGTTATTATAAATTCAAGAGAATGCCCATCTGATATAGGTGACTATATACATAAGAATTTACATTTCAATGAAGATGAAAGCTTTTCTGTATCTGCAGGTGCATTAGATACATTTGCTTCAGCATTTAATGTATTACTTGGTATGTTTCATGCTATTGATACAGCAGATCATGGTGATTCTTATAAAGCATATTGTAATTTTGATGGAAATAAAAATTTGCATAGCTCTAGAAAAATTGGTGAAAGTGTTTCAGAAGGCAGAGAAGTATTTGGAGCTGAAATTAACTCCAGTAGAGCTGATAATGTATGTCGTGATGCTAAAGGGAGGTTCTCAAAATACGAGAGAAAATGTGAAGTGCAAAATTCTTTGAAAGGTATGTTAAAAAAGTTGTTTTTTAAATAACCTTTTGTAGATATATTCAGAGTCTATCAGTAGTATGTGTATTTTGCATTCAGAATAATCACTTGTTTGCATTATCAATAATAACATTTGTTGTTGTGATTTACCTTATATACTCGCGTATAAGTCAATACCGCGTATAAGTTGACCCCCCCCCCACTTCGACATAAAAAATTCGTCAAAAATAAGAAACCCGCGTATAAGTCGAACCCCCACTTCCGAAATCGATCGAGAAAATTCGAAAAATTTTTTTTGAGAACTACATTTATTCAAAATCATCTGAGAAAATAAAGTAAATATACGATAAAAAATACCTTGGTAAATAAACAAAATCAAAATCCTTCATCTGATTCATGGTCAGATTCGCGAAACATTTCATAGAACTCTTCTGTCGTCATTGGCTCGTCATCGTACATATTTTCAGTCTCGAACTCTGTATTGTTACGATCACTACTAGAGCCTTCGTCGTCATTTTCACTTTCAAAAAAAGCATCATCTTCCGTGCCATGAAATTCGTTGCTAATACAAAATTTTTTAAATGGTTTTATAATCATTTCAGAGGGTATTTCGTTCCAAGCATCTTTAACCCACTGAGCAGTTAATGTAATATCGGGCTTTTTATTGTTAGGGGGCCGAAAATTCTTTGGTTTAATCCAAACTTACTCTGGTTAAAGTATGAAACTCTGATTAGTTCGTCACATAATTTAAGTCATGAAATTACTTCAAGAAGTGACTTATTTGATAAGTCGTCCAATTTGAGTGCGGGAAGAAAACTGCATTATATAAAGAAGTTTTGAACTTCCGATTCTTTTAATTTTTTATGGCTCCGCGTATAAGTCGACTCCCCACTTTGAAGTCTTTTTTTTTTTTGTCCAAAATTTCTCGACTTATACGCGGGTATATACGGTACATCATTTGTCTGACAGTAACATTGGAACAAGCTCACAAAATTCATTGGGGCAAGGAATACAAAATTGTGCCTGTTGTTGGAAGAAGCCTTGAGCACCTAACAGGTGGCAGTACGATTTGCCCAGTTCTGCCTTTAATTTTAATGGAGAATACCCCGCAGGATAAGTCTGAGGGTCTCTCATCTCCCTTCCCCTACCATTCACTTCTCGAGAGAACTTTTGTCATACTGCATATTTTAAATGCTCCCATGCAGCATTTACAGGCATTCATGCCTTCTCCAAGATTTTAAGCCAGAACCTACAGTATGGCAGTTAAGCATCACTAACCACTATGCCAATTGGGTGGCATAACAACTTTTTGTATTAATGTACTTGACTGAATATGCTGTGAGTTTAAAGTCAGTCAAATACAAGAATAGTTAAAATCTTTGTTGTTTATGTAATTGTAATCTTTAGTAGCTCTTTATGCATTAATAGTTTTAATTTCTTGCCCATTTTTAAAGTTGCAGAGTAGCAAGAGGAGGTGGTATAGCAAAATTGTAAGTTTGTCTTGTGTCAAAAAATTTATTTTCATACATGGCATGTCTGCTCTGTTGTATCTAGGTTGTAGAGTATCTGGAAACAATTTGTGAAGAGTTGATGGATTCTAAGATTGAATTGGTTATGATAAGTACATATGGGCTGTGTAAAGGAAAGGATACCACTGTGAAGGAATGATAATGCAGTTATGTAGAAATATTTAAAACAAAATGCTTTTTGGTAAAAGTTTACAATTAAGTGCCCCTTGTTTCTTGGCGATTCTTTTTTGACGCCAAGTTCGGCGCTTGGAAGGCACAATATCAAGATGGCCCATACACAAAACCAAAATAGGAAGTCAAAGAATTGCACAAACTGTGTCCATGTACACATCGATCTGTTTTCACTTAAAAAAACATCTAGAATTGCACAAACTAGGCATTGCACACTGCCTTAAATTTGTCCATGTACACATCAATCTATTTTCATTTAAAAAAAAGTCAGAAAGCTAAAACAAAGTTAAAACTATCATGGTAAACAGAAGTGAAGTTTCATCGCCAAAATTTAAAAAAATTGTTGCTAATCGAAGGGGCACCCAATTCTACAATGCTTTTATGTAAAATTCATATTAGGGTCCCATTTGTAGAAGTTGCATATAATAAAATTTTAAGTAACATTGCTTAAAATTTTTATTAATACATACACTAGTACAACAACTGTTCAGTAAAATAAATTTTTATGTAATTGAAAAATATATTAAATTATATATAATGATATATATATATATATATGCGCAAGATGTTTTCTTGACCAAAATTGGTTTTTCAAAAATTGTTATTACTGCTTTGCTTGATAAATATATATATATATATATATATGAATTTAACAAACACTCTTTAAGTTAATTTAAATTTAATGCAAACAAATAAATGATTAATGTAAAAAATATTTCGGGAAATTATAAAGAGATGCAAAACCTATGGAGAAAGAAGTGTTTCTTGCTTTTTTAGGACTTATGTAAATCCCATTCCCATTATCTATCCTCCCATGTAAATGTTAGAGAATTATGGGTGACTGATGGAACAGGATTGAATATTTTTTGTAAAACAATGAACTATAAGCGTTTTCTTTTCATTCGTGCCTTATGATTTGATGATGTCGGAACACGGGACGTCAGAAGAAAGAGTGATAAATTAGCTCCAATAAGAGATTCGTTTGAAAATTTTGTCATAACATAACAATAGGGGCGCTTACTTCTTATGAAAAGAAGGAAAGGAGTTTAGGCAAAATTGCCCATTACTCTTCCACCATTTGATCATTTAAATCAAGGGATTTAAATGGTAACTCCCGTAAAAGGTAAGTAATAAATAGATAAGATCTCAAACTGACACCAAATCTATAGTATCAGCAAAAGATCCCATCTCTAAGTTTCAAGGGTGTGTCGGCTGGATCGTGAAAACTTCCCTATTGGATGGAAAACCGATTCAATCCCTCCCAACCCCAACACCACAAACGCAAATTCTTGACCAAACAAGAGTGCGATGGAGAGTCAAATAATAAACAATAAATAAATGAGGAGGGCAGAGGTGCATTCTCAAGCCAAATGGCACCAATTGCGTAGTTTCTTTTGCAATTTAGCCTATACATCAGAAACCCTATTATGCCAGAGAGCCCTTTGTATAAAAGGGCTTGATCAAAGGTAACATAGGGAAACCCAAGGAATTTGTTTCTAGGGACAGAGAACACCGGACATCGTCCCAGAAAGTGAAAAGGTCTCTTCTTCTCCACAAGCTGGGCAGAGAGGAGATTCGACAAGACCACATTTGTGGAGATGCTTAGCTAGATAAGCATGTCCAGTAACAATTTGAATTACCTGGCATAAGTTAGTTCTACTGAGGTGTATGAGTTTACCTGAAAAGTTAAGTGTACTGAGCACCAATTTAGAATGAGCACAGTCTGGTAGTTTAGACCATATATCATCATGTTTGTTCTTTATCCAGCTTCTTACTTCTTTCTTAACCATTTGATATGAAACTGGGTAAAATGGTTCTGGGCCAGATATGGGTAGTTGCGAAGCATCTTTAGCTACTTTATCAGCTAGTTCATTTCCAGCAAAATCACAATGACCTGGGACCCAGACTAAACTAATGCTATTATGGGCCTGAGCCAGAGAATTGAAATCTTGAGTACAGTTCAAAACACAGTTTTGTAACTTGACACGATTAGCCAGGGCAAGGATGGCTGATTGGCTGTCAGAGAGAATATATATATATATATACTTATCAACTGTATTTTTAGCTAAGAGCTCCCTGGCGACCATATTGATCGCCAGAACCTCGGCTTGGAAAACAGTTGTTAATTTACCAAGGTATAGATGAAATCTAATGAAATCTTCAGATCCCTTGGTCCTTATAATAGCTCCAGCTCCAGTGAAGTTGGATTTTGATCCATCTGTGTAACATTCAATTGATCCTGTTGGAATTAGGTCAATTAGAGATTCTATCTCATTCCTTTTTGGTATATGAGTTGAGAATAGTTTATCTGGAACTATTGTTTTAGTAATTGCATCTATGGGCATATAGATTATAGGGATCTCATTGCCCAAGTCCAGACATATGTCAATGTGGCTTTTCAGGTGGCTTTTATGACCAAAACCTGTCCTTTGGCACCATGTGCCATTTTTATTCAATCTATACATGGCTTTAATTGCTTCTCCGCTCAAGAATAATGGAATTTGCAGTAAAAATTCTAATGCAGCAGTAGGGGTACTATTTAAAGCCCCACTAATGCTTAGGCAAGCAAGTCTTTGCACCTTTTGTAAAATGTTTAAATACGTGCTTTTGTTAATAACATTAATCCAGACCACGCATCCATAAGAAAGCATTGGCCGGACTATGGCAGTATAAATCCATAGAGTAGATTTTGGGTTAAGGCCCCATTGTTTACCAACATTTCGCCTACAAAGTACTAGAACATTTGTGGCCGTTTGTGCCTTTTCTTTTATATGGGTGATCCATGTAAGTTTACTATCCAGGTAACATCCTAGGTATTTAACGCATTCCTTACGCCTAATAATATGGGTAACCAGAGAGATATAAATCTGCCAGTTTCCATTTCCTTTCTCCACGTGAAAACTATGACCTCAGATTTTTCAGCAGAGAAAGAAAGGCCATTTGTTTCACCCCAGTGTGAAACTTTATTTAAGATTCTGCTGAGCTTGATTATGTAAGGGTTCCGATATCGAAACCCTGTAAGTAACACAATAAGGTCATCTGCATAAGCCTGTGACATGCCAGGTTCCTCCCGTAGAAGTACTAAGAGTGAGTCGAATACCAGGTTCCACAGGAACGGAGAAAGAATACCACCCTGTGGGCACCCTTTAGTAATATCTCTCTTTACTTCATAGTCAGCGAGACTAACACAGATATTCCTGTTTTTAATCATGAAGATGACCCATCTAGTTATCATAGGGTGAATATGACTTCCAGTAAGGGCCTATGTATTTTCTCGAAACCGATGTTATCAAAGGCTCCTACAATATCCAGTAGAA